GAAGGAAGGAAGGAAGGAAGGAAGGAAGGAAGGAAGGAAGGAAGGAAAGAAGGATGGAAAGAAAGAAGGATGGAAGGAAAGAAGGGAAGTAGGAAGGAAGGGAGGAAAGAAGGAAGGAAGGAAGGATGGAAGGAAGGAAGGGAAGTAGGAAAGAAGGAAGGAAAGGAGGAAGGAAAGAAGGGAGGGAGGTAGGGAGGGAAGGAGGGAGGGAACAGATTTTCTGAGAGATGCACTGGAGCAGCAGTGCAGGAATGGGGTCTGGTCCACACTAGAAACAACAGTCCTTAGTTGGGGGCACTTTGGTATTTTTCATTTTCCTAATTTTAGCCAATCTAATAGGTAAAAGGTAGGACCTCATTTGAAGTTGCATTTCTCCACTAGAATCATTTCATAGCCACTCAGATTTTCTTCTGTGAATTATCTTTTCATATTCATTGCCTCTATTTATTCCTTTCTTGGGTTCCCTATCCTTTTCCCAAGGGTTTTGTTGGAGGAGACATTTTATTACCATTTCAATATCTTTAACTTTTACACTCTATTCAAGTTTTCCATTTATTCTTCTGTCCATTTTAATATTTTATATCCTTTATATAAATTAATCCTTTTTGAACAAATTCCAAATGTATTGTTACATGTTTGTTCATATTTTTAAAAACTATTTTAAAAATTACTTGTTTGTAGATCTCCTCTTCAGGATGTGTTTTACTTATTCTTTTTCTGATTTATCTTATTCAGTCTTATCAAAGGTTTGCTATCTTACTACTCTTTTCAAAGAACTGATTTTTCCTTTGTTAATCTTCATATTAATCATTTTTCACTATTTCATTGATTTGTTCTTATCTTATATTTCCATTTTCCCCATTTCTTTGGATTTATTATCTTACTTTTTATTAGCTTCTGTTAAACACTTAACTCATTTGTTTTCTTTCTCACATTTTCCTCTTTTGATATTTTAATGTTATAATAAGCATATTTAAAGCTCTTAATTTTTGTCTGAGTAATACTTTAACCATGTCCAATATATGTTTATTTAAATTTTTAATTATTAAATATATATATATATATATATATGTATGTATTTTTTGAGACAGAGTCTTGCTCTGTTGCCCAGGCTGGAGTGCAGTGGCGTGATCTCGGCTCATTGCAACATACAGAAAAATATGGAAAATAATTTAGCAAACAATTGTGGGTCTATCACAAAATCTATCAATTTGAAATATTTTTCTGTAATAGCATTATATGTTTTTTTTAGAATT